CTTGAAGAGAAGCTGTTAACCTGAAGTTGCTTTGGCAGAACTAAGGCTTCAGAGCAATGTGAGTTGTACTTTAAAGCAGGGCAGACTTTGTATGATATTTTCAATCACGACGCACAATGAAGCTGAAACTCGGCCCGATCCAAAAATATTCTCACACGAATGGAGAATCGGTCCAAAAGGGCAAAAACTCGTACAGTGTACGCCCGGCTTAAGGGATTGTTATCTTGGAGGAAGGAGAATGTGTAATGTTGCCAAATGAACTGTATATCAAAAGAGGAAATTTGTTGTGAGAAAAGTAATATCCAAGAATGCACTTTTCTCTGTTATTTATTTCTTTTATTTCATTTCAGTTTCTTCTTTTTTAACAAGTTCTTGGTAAATTATCCTTTTCGAGTTTAAAGCGGAAAACTAGACTTGTTGGGTACAATTGTTTGACTCCTTGAAACATCAACATTTTTACCACAAAAAGGGCTTAAATTTGCAACAAAATGTTAAAACTCGGACACTCAAAATCATACTGATAGAGGATGTACCAAAATAGCTCTAGTTGCGCTATAATCATTAGTTTGAATATAAAAATAGACTTACTTTATTAAGTCTTAAAACCATTTCCTTTCCAATTAATATTCAATAAGAGTTAAATCATCAGCATAGGCTCACACATTAGTTTGCAAAAACTCCTCATGATACATTGACAACATATTAGATTTTTCTAAAGGTAAGGTTTTTCAAGTTCATACAAACCCATAAGATATATTATGTAAAAGTATGTTTAACATAAAAGCTAATTTCAAACTAAAAACTTTTGCAAAACATGGACTACCCCTGCAACTTCCACTTAAGATACTTAATTTGAAAGCAACCCTGCAATCTGTTTGATAAAATCTTTCATACAGCAATTCCAATCCACTGTTTTTAAGCTCAAGTAATCTTTTCTGTTCATTGAACTGATCACCCACCATTCTCTGTGTGTCTCCCTCTGCTTTTCTCCAAATGTCCAACTGCAGAGAGACTCCCTGGTGTCATTTTTCTCCAAATGTGTGCGTATGTGTGTGACAGCATGAAAAGCTTATAATCCCCAAACCAATTAGAAATGTGAGCTATGGATTTGAGCCGGTCAAATACCCAACACTGCTTTGATTAGCTAGATTTACTCTCCTTAAATCTCTCAGACTCTCTGTGCCCTAACCACTCTTTTTCCATGAGCTCACTCTTTCTGAACCAAATTTTCTTTCTTTGGCTTCTGTGCTTGCAGTTTTTTCTCAGTCTCTCTGACCTAAATGATCTCTCTGTCTTCCCTAACCTCTGTCCTTTTAACCAATTTCTTCTTTTAATGCGTAAGGTCAGTGCTATGCCAGGAACAGCTTCAAGGTCGTCTGAGACTATTTTTTCTGCTCTGCCTTCTTGTTTCAATTTCTCTGTTTTTTTTGTGTAAAATGCAGGGTTACATGCTCCCCACATCAGTGATTCTATAGCTTTGCACATGTAAAGTGTTAGGATAGGAAATTATAACATCTGTGCTCCTTTGTACAGATAATATTTTCATCTTCTGAAGTCTTAGTGTGTGCTTTTTTATTTTCTCCTTCCAGTTAGATGGTGATTTGCCTTCATCAATTCAAAACAAGGTGTTCTGTGTTATAACCAAGACTCCTGAGCTACAAGTAAAATTATTTAAAGGCAATTAAATGGTCTTTGAAAATAAATGAGATGGTAAAACACTTTACAATAGCAGAATCCTTTTAGAAAATGTTTTATAGGCTTGCTTCCTCTATAGTATATATTTCTTGACCCTGAAATGACTGGACCAGTGTCCTGCATGTTTCTTCTCATTTTGACATTTTATATTCTAGCTCAGGGCTTGATAACATCATCAGAATATTTTGTTCCTTCTGCATGTTCTCTATCTGAGTCAAGTTGGAACTGTGGCTTTGTCTAAATTTAACATTTTCTGGGCTATGAAACAATTTAGCTTAACTGTACCGTCTATAAAAAGGCATACACATGTTTTTTGTTGTGGTTTTCTTCAAAAGTCTGATTTTAAGGTTGATTTAAGACAGGTTTAAGAGGATTGGGTGGTAGTCAAAGGTGGTCACCTCGATCCCCAGACATTTCAAACAGCTTTAGGGATCTGAAATGTCATCTCTCTGAGAAATTCAGCCTTTTGAATTTGGATATCTGCAAGTACAGATACTATTCCACTACCAGAGCCCTTTTTACTCTTATGGTATAATCCTCATTATTGTTGATTTTGTTTAAGAGAATGTTATTAACTCCTCTCTACAGACAAGTAAGATATGTCATAATGTAAACATGTTTCAACTTAAGACAAGTTTAAGGTTAGAAGACAGAAAAACAGTAAATCATGTTACCAAACGGACTATTTCTTAAATCTAAGACAGACTCTTGAAAGATAAATGTTCCAACTGCTGAAAACATTTTTAACTAAACTGTAAATCATACTTTCAGTGTGTTAAAATGTATTTTTATAAAAAGCTGTGTCATTATTCTTCTTCTTATAAAAGTATCCTCTAATACTAACCCACTTTCAAAAGAGTTTCTATCTAAGGCAAACCAGATGATTATATAGAGTTATTTTTTTTGCAGGACACAGATTTGCTTTGCAATGTTTCTAGTCTAAACATTTCAACACACTGGAGTTGCTGTGATGAACCATGCTTGGCTCCTTCCTGCTTGGCTCCTGCTAGCCAGCTGCTAGCCGGAGCTTCAACTAATCAGAAAAGCTAATCCTTGGAGTTTTTGGGGGAGGCAGACACTACCTGCAACCTCTCATCACTTCTGCAGAGCTTCTGCATATGAAAAATAAATAAATATCAAGGGAGTTATATGCTAAAGGTTTAAAAAAAAAAAAGTCAGAACAATAAATTGTTTTGTAGAAGGAACAGAGAGTGAGCTCTGATCATTATTACTGCACTAGAATTGTTATTATTTTTTTTATTAACTATGGCGAAACAGTTTATAAATACTCAAATAAATTTGAAAGATTAAAACCCGGCACCTGCAGTTTTTACCATCTTATAAACTATTTCAATTCACTTCCAGCCACTACGAAAGGTAGCAGGAAGTTCACCACAGGCTGGCCACAGCAGAGAGCTTTCAGCTGGGATTACCAACGCTGCCTCCCGGTGGTATGCTGGAGGTCTGGTGCTCCGAATAACAACTGCAAATTTTAATGGGATCATAATCCTGATAAACTGACCGCACAGATTGTGTTTGGAGGTGGACTTTCTCGCTTAAAAACGGGTTAAAACTATTCTTTGTTTGAAGCCACAGAACAGAGCAGATAATCTACCAGAGTGACGAGCAGCCAGAGCATCAAAGCAACTTGACCAGAGTTTGATCCAGCGTCCAGATTTCTGCGTTTGAGCATTTCTGACACCCCTAACGCCTATGCTGTGAACACAGCATCAGACCTTTCCATGGAAACTATAAAAGCACACATAGCTTATGGATCAGAAATGTGACTGGTTGTATCCACATTTTTAAATCTCTAACATATGTTAGTATCAGTGTCGTGATCCCGGCGCTGGTGGCTGGCTTCATTGCTCCATCCATTCACCTGTTTAACTCTGCCCAGTTTCTCATTACCACTTATCTTATCCACCTGTTTCCTGCTCCTATATATACTGTTTGTTTTCAGCCACCAGTGCCAGATTATTCAAGCTGCTGTGAGAGTAGCTCCAGCCTTTAATTAAGTCTGCCTGTTATCCCGATTCTGACCTGTTTTCTGTTTTGGAGGGGTTTTTTTATGCTTTGCCCCTGTCTGCTCTCTTTGCTGTGTTTTTTTCACTGTTTCCTGTATCCTGCTGGTTACAGAACCTTGACTGTTTCTTTGCCCTTGGCTTGGATTCTCCTTAAGGGCACTGTTGCTTCCTCAGCATCAGCTGTCGTCAGCTCATCATCATTCGGGGCGCTGGAAGTAGCTACAGCTGCTAACAACCTCCCTTTTGTCTGGGATCAGACTGGACTTTGAACCAGGTCAGTGACTTTTGCTCCTTGTCATTATTAGCCCCATATTCCAGTCACTAACCTGTGTTTTCTACCTCTGCAGTGAATCCAGTTATCCGCCACGGTGACGATCAGCTGCTTGCTGAGTTATTTGTTCTTTTTTTTTTTTTTTTTATTATTATTATTATTTGTTCTAAATAAAGCTTGTAGTAAACCGTCCTGAAATGTCTTTCTGAATATTGGGTCCAAGTTTCTGAGGCCGTTACAATCAGAATACCAACACTAAATAAAATCATCCCAACTATACATTTCAGCAGTTTTATGGCTGCTTGACTGCAGCATTGCGCGATAATAAAATAAATAATAAATAATCAAATAAATCAAGCAAGACAACAATGGTGGATGATTTAGAAGTAGAATGTTGGGTTTTAGACTGACCTGTTTGAGGTTCCACAGAAAAGTAGGGCTGTCCTTTCAGAATGCTGTACACCAGTCGTGCACTGTTACCATAGGTGGGGTCGTCAGCATCCGTAGCTGTCACCTGCATCACTGATGTACCTGTAGGACGCAGGACACACAGAAGAGATGGACAAGTCAGGAGGAGCCTTGGCAAATCCTCTGCCTTTATCGACTTGACAGGATTGGAAAAAAAAACAAATAGTTTCATACACTGCATGTAGGAAAATGTAAACGGTTGCTTTCCACAACTGACCTGAATTTCATGGTCAAGTGGAATGTATCTAGAGCTGCAACTAATTATTTTGCAAATCAATCAATCTGTTTATATTTTTTGATTAATCGATTAATAATCGGATATCAAAAGGTTCCTCACTGCAAAAATTATCTAGAAATAAGTAAAAATGTCTTAAATTAAGTGTATTCACCCTTAATTTGAGTAGGTAAATGGGATAGTTTGCCAATGGAATGAGTAATTTTACTCTTAAAATAAGATAATTAGATAATATGCACTTGAAATAAGATAATGCAATTGTATTTTCTTATTTTAAGTGTAAATTGTCATGTTATATTGGCAAAATGTCTCTTTTACCTCCTCAATTCAAGAACAAATGTCCTTATTTTAAGAAAAAATGACTTATCTAGATTCAAATTTTTTGCAATTAAACCAGGTTAAACTACATTCTTTCCACTTAAGAGCATATTGACAGTTGTTTTATCATAAGTGCAAAATGTTTACATATTTTTACAAATTTGGCATAAAGCTAAAGACATGTTTTAGAGTCCGTAAACTCCTGTTAACGAATAATCGATTACTAAATTAGTTGACGATTTTTTTAAATAATCAATCAATCATAATAAATCTGATTACCTACTTCCGTTTTAAAGGTATCACATTTCAAATGTAAGTCAATTTTTGACTAACTTTTAACTGAGACTCTATAGGATTGGACATCTCTCAGAAGTCAGAGGTTCAGTAAAGCTTTCAGAACCTTATTGGAAAAAGCTACTATTTGAGCTAAAACTCTATTTTACTGCAGTACCCAGAAGTTCTGATATTTTGAAAACAGGTTTACACTGCCATGAAACATTAAGTGTGAAACTATTTACAGTAAAGTCCTTTGCATGGACAAAAGTAGATACCACATAATATTTGATCAGTTTTACTACATGACAAAGACACCACAGCTTGGAGGCTAAAAGGTTGTTTGTCTAATCAGCTGGTCATCAGCACATGAGCATCACAGTGGATTCTGCTCCAATGGTGCATTCAGACAAAAGACATTACTGGTGTCTAAAAGGCATCTGATGCCTCATATCTGACATTGCTCCATTTTGAGGCTTAGAAGCTCGACAGTCTGGATGATGGTCACTCGACACTCGAATGTGAAAGCATCAAGTTAGCCCTATATAAAAACTATATCATACGCAGACTAATAAAACCCTATTCATGAAATCAACTATGTAAACTAGACTTGCATTGGTCAATCTGCCATTTTCACATAATCGGCCAAGTATCATTCTCCTGCCTAGGACGTTTGGTCACCTTAACCCCTTGAACCCTACGGACCCACCGGCGGGTCCAGCTGCTACATGACCTCGTAATTTTACCAAACCCCCAGTATTGATGTAAAAAACATATTTGGCAC